TACATTATTTAACAACATTCACTTACAGTAATAATTTAATAAGTTTACATTATCTTGATAAATTATATGTTAAAATATATAAAACTGATATATTACATTAGAAGATTATGATACAATAGCAAGTATTAACTTACAATTAGAGTGAGAAACCCTACAGTAGTCGATTAATTAACTTCAATAACTTGATTACATTAGATGTTAATAATAATTGTAAGTACTTACAATATCCTGACATAAAATTATATATTTTTCTGCATTACTAAATAGTACATTGCCTTATTGAACTGAAATGTTGATACAGATTGGTCACTCTTGTAGCTGTACATGGTTTTTAATTACAGAGAAGTTAAAGCAATTCAGATTACTTATATGGACACACACTAATAAGGTGATCTTTAAGCAATATTTTGAAGTATATATTATCAGCTGATTTTATGGTAACTGGGAGTTTATTAAAAATATGTGCAGCAATGAAGAAAGGATCTTTGTTAGTTGAAGACTTACTAGCATAGTCCTAAATAGTACCTATGCCCTCTAGTATGGTAGTTATGTACCTCTTCATTACTCATTATATTGATTTGGATTATTTCTCAAAAGTAGTAATACTCTATAAGTGTACAACACTCAATAATTCATATTTAATAACGAAATCTTTACAGGGCCTCGGATGCCTCAGACTCAGTTTAAAAATGCTTCTGATACATTTCTTTTGTAGAACCACTTTTGAGTTGTACCTCCCCATATTTCAATACCATATAGATGTTGGGAAAAGATTATCTCATAACAGACTGAAAGAAGTGCATCTGTTTGCAAGTATCTGGAAAAGTATCTAAAGAGGAATGTATTGGAGTTTATTTTATTACAAAGTCTGGCAACTTCTTTGTTATAAATTAGATTTTGGTCTACAAATATTCCTAAAAACTTATGGCAAATCAGTTTGGTTCACTGGTTCATTTTCTACTTTACTGTTTTGGTGTTGATAACCATGGTGAAACTTGTAATTTATTAATATAGTTTTATCGACGTTTAATTTCAATTCATTTATAGACAAATAAGTTTTAATTGATTTTAATGATTCAGTCAGATTTATTTCCATATGACAAAGATTTTGCTCACTGCTTATTAATGTTGTGTTATCTGCATAAGAAATTACAGAGAAATTAGATGAGCTTGGAATATCATTAACATTTATTAGAAATAGCAAAGGTCCAAGCAGATCCTTGCACAACAGCTGTGTCAATTGTATCAAACTTTAACTTTGGATAAGAAATTTTCTGATTGCCAGAAGATCTCTGTATGTCCTAAGGTATGATGTAATGAGGTCATTAGATCCACCCTTATTCCATAATAATCAGTTTGGTCAACAGTTTTTCATGAGATACGCTATCAAATGTTTTTAAAAGATCAATAAATATACCTGCTGTTTTCCTATTTAATTCCAAATTTCCTATGATTCCATGTGTGATTTCCACAACAGCAGTGGTGGTAGAGATGCCCTTCCTGAAGGCATGGATAAGGATATTATGAGATTCAAAAATACAATTAAGTCTTCCTAATACAACTTTTTCATAGAGTTTGCCAAATGCTGAAGTTAGGGTTATGGGTAGGTAATTCCTAACATCTTGTGTATTATTTATTATTCTTAGCAAGTGGTCTTGCAATTCTAATTTTTAGAGTTTCTGGAAAAGTAAAAACAGAGGCAGAAATTGCCCTTGCAGGCAATTGTAAGGCAGAATTGTAAAATTGCCCTTATTTGACGCCAAAAAAATTAATATTTTCAAAAAAGTAAACATTATCTTATTTTTCTGATGAACAAATTTCAATATGTAAAAACATTATCTTCGTAATTGTAGTTGAAGACAGGAATGTTTTTTGCATTTTTTTAAAAAATTAGGGATTTTGACAAAAATGATACCTTCACCACTCTCTAAAACGTCCTTTGCTGAAACCGAGGTCAAAATTTAATAAAAGCTAGTGGTGCCACAGAATGGCACAGACTTCCCCGTATTGCTTTACTATTTCCATCGGTCTCAGCTAGCTATTCGGACTTGCCGCGTACTTTTGCCAGTTGCCATGTATCGCCGGCCAAAGAATATTTACTTTAAATCTTAATTTTTCGGCTTCCTAATAGTAGAATCGAATTATTACTTTAAAAATATTAAAGAACAGTAAAACCTCGTCCACAATGGCAATTTTCATTGAAAATTTTGAGGCGTTTGTAAGAAAATGGCATTTAAGCTTCTTCTTCTTCTTACTTTTATTTTAGGGTAGAGCCTGTTTCTTTACAGAGGATACTTAATTAAAAGGCATTTAAGCGCTACCGTAAATTCGAAATTTGAAACTCTTTTCACAAAAAACTATTGAGTTTTCCTAAAAACTTCATATGACTCATTTCCCCAGTCACATATGCAATAGTGTTTACAAATTGCTGGAAATGTGTGCATACGAAGCGTTGCCTTTTAGTTTCGGATTTGGCAATCCTGGTGTTGCAATCTGGCAAACTGATGCGCTCAATCGTAAAGTTGGATTGTTTTGCAGGTTATTACGCACTCAGAAACGTTTTGACATACGAGCCCGCCTATTTGTGTTTTATATAACTTAAAAGATTTATCTTGATCCAAACAATGAATTAAATCGTGAACATTTCCTACGATTATTTTTACAACTTCGACGTGATTAACTCAGCACAGTGCATGGATGAAACTTAATTCAATTTTTGGCGACGAAGCTCCATCAAGGACCAGTGTTTATCGATGATATGAATTGAATCTCGTGGTCATAGTTCACTCCAAAACGAATTTCGCGGAAGGTTGTCCAAATGAGTTGTTGTTCCAAACAACCATTGATGCTGTGCGTGAACTGATTTTGGCCAAGATCATGTGGACTATCCCTCGAGAGTGGAACAACCTTTAGCCATTAATGCGACAGCATACATTCAATATTGCATGAAATTGGACTGTCCAAAAAAATTTGTTCGCTTGGATCCCACATAATTTGTCAATCGCTGAAAAAAGACTCTGTGTCGATGCTTGTCGAAAGAAATGCCTCAAAAAATACGATCGCGAGTGCTTCCGAAACCCGTCTAATGACATTGGACAAGGTGAATGAATAGTGGATTAGCGCGTAGCGACCCGAAATAAACAGCAGTCGACCAGTAATGGCTTTTTCAAGATGACAAAATCCAACAAAATTTGTTCGGCAGCACGAAGCACTTACAACCTGTTTGTTTGTTTTTCTTCTTTTTTTTCCCCCTTCCGGATAAAACTGGACATGTCGCCAACCGTTACCACTAGCACAACGCAGAACAGTCATTCTGAGTGGTATACAACCGATTGTTGCCAGCTGTATTCCAAGAAAATCAGGAAATACCAACCCGGCAAAGGAACTTGATCACCTCTTCATCAGGACAATGCCGAAGCTCTTACACATCGGCTCAACGCTATTTTTGAGCACCCAAAACATCGATTTGATTAAGTCATCCGCGTATAGCACCGAATGACTTCTTATTTATTCCGCTACGTAAAAAACACAAACTGAAAGGTCAAACGTTTTTCGACACCTGAAAGAAAGCAGTTTGTGCATTCAGAATGCAATGTATTTGGAGATACCTCTATCAGAGTGGCACCAAGTGCTTCGACAAGTGTTCAAACGCATGGAAAAGTGTATAGATCTTCATGGGAATATTTGAAAAACAATAAAGTGATTTTCGATTATTAATATTTGTTTTTGTTTTCTAATCCTGAAATATAAAAGGCAACCCTCATATTAAAGTCGTGAGAGATATTTAATTTGCCATTGGCGGCAATTTAGTTACATTAATGAATTTATGAGTTAATGTGCTTTAAATAATGTGAGGTAAAGTTTCCCGATAATTCAAGTTATCCGTGAAAATGCGCTCAAAATTCCGCATTTTCAGAAACGCTCAAACATTTTCTCTAAAAGTGCTCGAAATTTTTTCTTCAAACTCTTCCAACAGATAGTGCCAATTGCACTTTTTAAGATGATATAGAATTAATTTTACAGTATTAATTTGCTTTTTCAAAAATTACACAAATGTATTTTTTTAGGTTAATTTTATTTTATTTTTTTCCCTCTCACGCCGTTGAAATGCACATTTGTAGCAATTTGTAAACATTATTGTATTTGTGATTTAAAGTACTTAAAATGATTTATAATTAAGTTTTTCTAAAACTCAAAAATTGTATATGAAAAAGAGCTTCTAATTTCGAATTTACAGTAGCCCTTTAAACGCCAGTTTATAAAAAACTGTTCAAAATTTTTCAAAGAGTATTGCCATTTAGGATGAGATTTTACTGTTCTTTAATAATCCTAAAATAATATTTCCGCTCTACAAACCGAAAACTTAGGAAATTAAAAAAAAACAACAAAAAAACATGTACTTTGGGCGGCGATTGATCGAAGCAAGCAAGAATATGTTGCAAGTTCATATAGCTAACCGGGACCAAAGGAAATAGAAAACTAATATGAGAATGTCTGAGCCATTCTGAAGCCCCACTAATTTATTATTGTTGTTACTGTTGTTATCGTTACCGTTATTGTAATCGTTTTCGTTGTAAATTTGCAATCGTTTTCGGGAAACAATTTCAGCTTTTGCCAATTTGAGCTTTTTTGTCAAAAATTCAATTTTCCTTCCACACTACAATACTTTATACTGTGTAAGCAGTAACAAGAAAGTAAAAATGATTTGTACTTTTTAATCTTTGTATTTTAGTTTCTACTTATATCAAAGGTTGATAATGCACTTGATCTCAAACACTAATGTTACAAAATAAAACACATTTTGTTTTATTAAATTTTATGTTTTATTAAATTGTATGAAACCAAATTGACACTAATTTTCTTAGTGTCATTGGAAAATTTCTTATCATTACATAAGAATTTGTCTTTGTAACACAAATAAATAAAATAAATTATCAGCATATCTGATGGAAATAAACCAAAGAACCGCTTTATTATCACACTTCTTGTTCATTATTCAGGAAACTTATTTGGCCATATTTAAGACAAATCGTTTCTTGAAAACTGTAGCATTTATTAAATCAGTATTGTTTTGTACAGTGATGTACAAATAAATAAAATAAAATATTTTATTGAGTCACATATACAATTAAAATCAGGTATGATGAGTCAATATGATGACTTGGGAGGAGAGAGTGAAGTTACAGTGTCCAGAAGCAAAACAAGGGGCCATCCCAGCATTTGCCCAAAGTCCAGGAAATCTGGGTAAAAACCTTATTGAGATAGGGTCATTGGCCTAGGAATTATACTGCAATACTTGTTAAAGATAGATTAAGATATAATTATTTTGACTAGTAAAACACTTTAACATTTCAAGATTTATGCTATTACTACTTATAATAATAATAATAATAATAATAATAATAATAATAATAATAATAATAATAATAATAACAGGATAGGCCAGTTCTTTCTCATTGCTTCAGCTCGAAACAGTCACGTGAAACAGAAGTCAAATGGGATAAGAATTTTTTATCTATTAAATTTTTTAAGGGAAATATGTTGTGATTTGGAATATTTCCTTCACACTGTAGAACATGTTGTTAAGCAGGAAAGCTTTCAATTTACTTTTAAATGTATATATTGTGTTCATGACTTTAATATCATTACCCAGTTTGTGGTTAAGTGTAATGCCCTCTATTAGAGTTCTTTTTTGATAAAGTATAGTTTCAGAGAAGGGGACATGTAGCCAAGGTAACATCCATTGGCCCTGCAATGCCTCAAATCCCTAGCATTTCTAGTTTTGTTAAAGTATGTGATGGTCAGTAATGTGAATGGCTTTTGACAAATCTAACAAAAGGCCAATGGGAATTCCCTTCTGATTTAGTGCAACAAGTATGTCATTTAAAAAGGAGAAGATGGTTGTGTTTGTGGATCTATTACTCCTGAAGCCATGTTGTGCATTTGGGAGGACATTATTTACATTGAGAAAGTGTTTGAGTCCATCATTGAAGAGTCTTTCCAGAATTTTTGAAAATCCTGATAGCTTGGAGATAGATCTGTAGTTCATTGGATCATAACTATTGTCCTTTTTAAACGATGGATTCATTTTTGCCATTTTGAATATTTCTTGGAAAATGCCTGTTTTTAGAGAGTAATTGCAGAAATGAGTGTTTGCACCATTCAAGGAGCACTGTGTTTGATAAGATAGTCTATAATATTGTCCAGGTCTGCTGAGAATTTATTCTCCATTCATCTAAGGATTTTTAAAATTTCAGAGGGGGTGGATTCATATAAAAATATTGAATTTACAATTTGTGCAACATTAGTGTTTGGATGGTGTGTTTTATTGTTTATAGAGTGTAGAGATATTAACTTTTTATCAATTTGTGAAAAGTGTTCATTGAATATATCAGCTATTTCTTATGAGTCTTGTAAAGTTTGTTTTTTGTAGTGGAACTTTGTTTTTTCTGTCATTGTTAGTTGGTGCTGTAGTCTTGTTAATGTCACACACAACTTTTGTTTTGTTATGTGCATTTGCTGTATACTTATAATTTGTCATAATTTTTGCTTACTTGATTATTTTTTTAAAGATTGAATTATATGTTTCGTAGTATGTAATGAAGTTGGATTACATTTGTCAGTATTTTATAATGTTGTATTTTCTTTCACATTACACTTTGATGCCTTTGGTAATCCATAATTTGTGTTTCATAGTTTGGATCTTTTTGAGGAAATGAAATTGACTCAAGTATATATTTATGAATGAATTAATCTTATCGTTTGTATCAGTTGCATTATATTCTTCATCCCAATTTTCAAATCTGAGTAAGTTTTGGAATTTCATTGTTTCTTTAGGAATAGTTACGAATTTCTTGGTAAGTTGTCTGTTCTGTGATTTTTGTTTCTGTTTGAAGTATTAGAATCTGGACAGCGTGATCACTGACACCTGTAGTAAATGTAAGAACAGAAAAACAATGGTTATTTGCTTGTATTATTATTTGATATACAGCAGTGCTATTTTTGGATATTAGGGTTGATGTATTTATGGTCATTTGTAGACTGTATGATTTTAGAAAGTAATTTACATTGAAGTCAACGCAGAGAATAATTTTATACTGTCTGCGTTTTTAAAGTTTTGTTAGCATAATTTCCATATTTTTTAAAAATATTTTCAAATTTCCAGTAGTCCTCTGATTTGTGCATAAGACCTAGGTTTTATTGCAGTTAAATAAGTGATGGATAGTTCAGTCTTTCTCTTTTATAAGATCAGTGTGACTGATGTAGGGTACAAACCTTAAGTTTCTTTAATAAAAATGCATGTTCCACCATATGCATAATGTCCATTGTTAATATTTCGACATGAGCTGCTAGCTAAAGAAAAGGCTGGTGTATATGTGTTATCTAATTCTTCTTTGGTCAGCCAGTGTTCTGCAAAACACAATATTGAATTGTGGTTGAGCTTCTCAAGTAATATTTTTGTATCAGTGAGTTTATTTTTCAGTGACTGTACATTTAGGTGAAGAATGTGATATAAGATTTTAATTTTGTGTATTGCCTGCTTTCCTGCTGATGCTTGCTACAGGTTATAAAAAATTCAATAATGGTTTAATAAATGCAATAGTTTTCAAGAAATGGTTCATCTTAAATAGGGCCAAATAAGTTTCCTGAACTAATTTATTATATTGAATTTTATTTACTTATCAGTTCAAAAACATTCTGTTTATAAACAATAGAATACTTAAAATTGTGAAGTAAAAAAATTTAAAAAACAAAAATCAATTTTGTCTGTCTCATACAATCTTTATACAAAGGTATTTGTCAATTAGTTTAAAATATTTCCCACAAACATATTTCTCATGTATGTGAGGCAACTGAAAATGCAGTCATGAATATTACATCAGTTGACATGCTTATATTTACAATTTGTACTGAAACCTGGATGGACCACACAAAAAATTTTAAACCAAAATTATCCTCACTGAAAACCACGATTTCTGCCAAATCCTTTATAAGAAGAGAAAAAGTAGAAACTATCCACAAAATGATAGTACATTTACATTAACTACTCACATTTAAACAGCATACTTGAACAGATGTATTTTGAGGATTGTTCCTTATATTCAAGGATTACCATTAGAAATTAAAGGATTAAATCCTCAAAGCAAATCTGTTCACGTGTGATGTTAAAATGTGAATAGTATTTATAAATTCACTACCAATTTTGTGGAAGATCATTTATTTTCCTCCTCCAAAATTAATTTCCAGTTGATCTTAAATACTCTATATACATTAAGAATGTTGTTGAGGATTAGTAGGGATTTCTTGAGGTTTTCTATATTTGGCCTGAATCCAAACCCGATACATCTTCAGAAGTTTTCCACGATTGACTTGTAATCTTCGATCAACAATGTTCTGTTCTTCAACAAATCCGACTTCAGTACAAAGCGATCGCAATTCATCTGAAAGCAAGGAAAAAATTTTACTATCCAAGTCTTAAGTCAATTTACAATAGAATTCTGTATGTTCAAGAACATGTATTACCTTGGGTGAAAAAGTAAACTCGAGTCCCATCACCTCTGACATAAAAATTTTCACTTAGGCACCGACCCTTCTTGAACCTCAGTTGCGCCATATCGTAGCGACCATAATCCCGAAACACAATAAGTCCTCCAGGCCGCAAATACCGATACAACCACTGCATCACTTCTTTCATTCTGTTTAAATAAGAAACTTTTTTGTTTTCAGCATCTGAACACAGTTACTCTACTACGAAAACTGATCATTTCTTAACATTCTTAGAAATTTTTTTAAACAAAGAAAATACTTCAAAACTATTACAAATCTTCCAATTATATTTAAACATTTTAGTAGAAGAGAAAATTCCAGATTTTAAAAGAAAATTATACGTATTAGATTAACTTACTTTGAAGGTTCTATGGCAGACAACACAAATATAAGAATGGCTATGTCTATGCTATTTTCCTCAAATGGTGGTGGTTCATTTGCATCTGCAATATCATACACAAATGCGTGGCATCTATAAAAAAAAACATTTTTGAAGTAGATAAAACAAAAGTTGTAAATATTTTAAATCAACTGGGGTACAACATCAATTAAATATTACAGTGTTTAAAGAAGAGGATTAAAATAAACCAGTGAAATTATTTCATTCAATGTATTTTTTCCTTCTTTTGAATTGCAATTTTCCTCAAGATTGTCACAGATCTAACACACAAAAATATTCTGACAATCAATACTTAATGAAGAACCTTCTGACAAATTTTAAATCCCTTCACCGACTACCAACAAATTTATGAAGTTAGCACCTGGTATTCTGTTGACGGATAAAATATTTACTAAGCATTCATCATAAATGCCCAATGAGGTTAGAATATATTAGTTTTTAGATTAGTTCTTAAATGAGTGACTTTGTTTTCAGGATTCTTCCCTGTCCTGTTTTAAACACCCATATTCTTTCATTATTATTTTCATAAAATCATTATTTGTCTCTGGATGATGATTTGGATTTGTAACTCAACACTTTTGTTTCCTCTTATATAAAAATTACGGAAATTTATTCAGCAATCTCACACCCAGAAAAAAGGTCTGTGAGAAAGAGAAAATATCTCTAGCCTTTTTTACCATCTTCGATATCTTTATAAATGTGAATGAATATCATTTCTCCTTTCATACACAAACAAGCACTTTCACACACAATGCATCAGTTCTCATACATTTATTAGTTACAAAAGTTAAAAATATCATAAAATACCTTTTCGGGTCATAGTCTTCAGAATTTTTTACTATATCAATTGCTTTTGTTGACAAATCACAACAATAAACAAATACATCAGGATTATTATTATACTGAAGAATTGGAAACACGGTGTTGCCTACTCCACAACCAACTTCAAAAATTCTACAGCCTTGCGATTCACTTGTTGTATTGCACTCATTCTGAATAGTACCACAGTCAGTTTTAACATTTTGGGTTTCCGCACTATAGTGAACACTGATAGGATGTTCTGGATTTTGAACATTTGGGGCTAGTTCAGGGAACTCTGTAAACAACCAATGCCTATCTTTGAAGAATCTGGAAATGGAAGTTGGTTTCGAAAATTAAAAATCATTCTCATACCATCATATACAGTATTTCTAATAAAGTGTTGAAGTTGTTTTTTAAATTATTATTGTGTATCAGAAAGTGTAATCTGCAATATAAATATTACAATTACCTATTTTGATGAATATCATAAAATGCATCCCAATATTTGGCAGCATTTACTTCATAATCTTCTTTCTCTTCTGAACTGGCTTGAGTAGATGAATTTTCGTGGACTTTTTGTTTTGCTTGTTCTTCCTGCTCTGCATCCCATGCAACATTGTCCCTAAAACGGCAAGGAGCGTATTTTAATTTCTCCAATTAGGAACGGAAAAAATTTATTAACTTCCCCCTAAAACGTACCACGCATTAAACTGAAAAACTTTATTGGGATCTGTTAAGTATCTTGTACCAAATTGTGGCTTCTTTCGAAACCGGGTATGACACAGTGCAACATTCTTAAAACCTGTTCTAGAAGATACTCCCCATTTCCTTACAAGATTCATAATATTTAAATTCATACTCTACCACGCATTATGACTGAAAACATCTTCTGTTTCGGTGAGGTATCGGTTACCAAACTGTACTCTCTTGTCACTCATTTTCCACGAAGAGGGAATGTTAAACTATTATTTAAAATATTAAACTGTAAATCATAGGTTCAACTGGGATTGGTGGAAAATATATATGCAATAAAATAGGCGTTCATGATATAAACTACTTCAAAAAGGCCTCCGTTTCAATGTTGTATGCCGTTCATCAAAATCATCACAGTCTCCAAGCGAAAACTAACAAAATGAAAGCTGAGTGAATGGACCACATGTGTGTTGCGCATAAGCTAAACAGCACGCGAGCACCTAAGTGAGCTACGTGAGCCGGCGTGAGCTGTTCGTCTATATACTCCAATATACTCTCTGGTTCAAATCGCGGATTTCGAGGAAATGATGCGCAGAACTGCGACAGCGTGTTCCTCGCCGAAGATGAGGCGTAGACCCAGCGTAGACCGGCGTAGACCTCGGTATTCCTATCACGCCCTGCGCGATTCGCCTGTTTATTTTTTTAAGACGTTGGTAAACATCATCAGTTAGTGTATCGAAACACGCAGAGATAGCGCTGAAATAGTGTTAAAGTACAGTGCGGGCTATGAAAGCACCACCTCGTGAAATACGAGAAGTTAGCTACCCTGAGAGAGTGGCGTTTTTCGACGGAAGATGGCTGTTGAGTGTATTTTGGTATGACTCGAGACCCACGCCCACTGTAAAGTTAATAAAAAATATTGGCAATTACAACTTCGTTCGGCAGTAAAGAGCATTCTGGGCGAAACCTAAACAAGAGAGGTGAGAGGTAATATTTTTTTCATTCACTATTGAGTTATAAGTATACAGTATATTGATTTAGTAGTTGACTTTAGCATAGCCTTAGAGTAGACCGAACTGTCATGTACCCTGTCAATGGGCACTGTACCATCCTGCAAGAGCTGAGCGGTCATCGCATTGGGGGTGTGTTTTTACAATTTGTGTATGTGTCTTACATTTGGACTTGGCTTAGTTACTATCATATCTCTTAGTTTGTGGAATTGCCGACAAGTGATGATTCGTAGACATAGTTATATAATAATCTTTGTACATAGTAACCCTTATGATAATGCTTTAGCCTCCAAAATGGTGAACAGTTTTCTGCATAGACCGTGTTTTTACGAAAATGTGACCCGCGATTAGTTGATATTAGATTCTGCAAGAGTTTTGACCGTATATCATGTATATATCAAACTATGTTACATGTTATTAGAAACCTACTTGCTTGCATGTTTTCTATGAAAATGTTCTGTTATCTTTTTAGGGTGCCCTTCATGATCCCCTGAAGTATGCCTTTTTGATATTTCTTCTACATGCCATCATCAGTTCCTGTTCATTCAACTGAAGTCTGGTTTGGTCCTGGTATTTGATAGTGTGAGTACATCCTAATATTTTACCAATTAATTTTTTTTTATCAGTGGCTGTTGCTTTCCTCATTTATGAAATGTTTGTAAAATGTATTTCAATATAATTAATTTTAAAAAGTGTACTTGAAAATGTAGGTTCTGTAGTATTTTTTTGTTCATATACAATTTTTTCTTGCACCAGTTATATCAAATAGTCAATTAGTAGAGTAGGGGTTGAAACCTTGTGTTCTGTAATGAATAATAATATATGTATTAATACACAGATTTGAATCTTTTCTTGTTGTAGCTCAAAATTGTGAAAAGCTGGATAATAATTTTTTTAAAGTTATTTTAATTTGTAGTATTTAATATTTATGAATTTTTTATTATCTTGCATACATTTAAGTTATCATTCCTTTATTAATTTCTTTTATCCTTTCTTTTTTTCATTCTTTTATTTATTTACACATTCATTCATGTATTCATTTTTTGTAATCGCATGTAAGACTGTACTTTGTAATCTAAAAAAATGAAGTTTTATGTATGTTGATAACCTCGTGAATTAATCTTCTGTTTCTAACCACTGAGTTAGTGAGAGTTCGACGTATTTATAGAATTTAATAGATTTAATTTAGAAATTTCACTCAATTGTTTTTGTTATTTTAAAAATTTGTTTGTTACTTCTAATGAAAATCATACTTTTTCTTCCACAAGGTAAATTACATTTTAAAGAATTATCTGACAAACATTGGAATAGTGTCATCATTTTTCTGAATTTTTAGGAGTGAACTCTATTAAAATATTCTGTGCCAAATTGACCAGAAGTAGTTCATAAAAGAAATCTGTTAACCAATTGAATTGATTTTCATCAGTTATTTTGAACTTGTTTATAAAAATTCAGATGAAAATATTTTTTCTCGAATACAGCCGTAAAAACTATAATTTCCATTCTGTGCATTACGTGCAAAAATGATCTTGACAATTAAGTCATTTTATTGCCCAATTAGTAAGAATTAGATATTTAGTCTTGCATTTTGCTCTAGTGGGAATTAAGTAAACCAATGAATTATACCTATTAGTACGTGACAACACACTTCGGTTAAAGAAGGAAGATGAATAGCACATCTGAACAATTGTTTCGTAAAAATCTCATTTTTTTTATGGATTGAAAAATACGTGTTTGTGTGTATATTACGTTACTTGTTCCTTGCACTCCGACAGCACTATTTCCCTTGAATTCCCTGAGCATGTTTTCCCTCCGAATGTTCCCTTTCGTCGGCGTGTTGCGTTCACCTCGCACTCTCGGGCTCCGCGGGGGGCGCGCGTGGTGGTGCGTGGGGCGAAGGGCGTGTGGTTTCCATGTGGCCGCTGCGCTCCGCGCCGCGTTATCGACGGAGGCGGGCGCGGGCGCGAGCGGGCGATGTCGATAGCAGGGAACCGAAAGCGGCGGCGCCGCGGGGCACGACGGGAGCGCGGCGGATGACCTCGGGCTGCGGAGGGCGAGCGGGCGTGTCCGCGGAAGTAAACAAACGGCGCCGAGTACGAAACGCCGCCACCGCCAGCCCCCTGCGACCCCGCCCCCTTCCACGTACCCGCCTGCGTCCACGCGCGCCCCTTCCCTTCTTCCGGCCCCCGACCGACCGCCCTCCGTTGCTTATTGCGTCGTGCTCTCAACTTTCCCACCGAAATGGCCCTCGTTTGAGATCCAGCGTCTCTTACATTTTCTTGTCCAGAAAACAATCACCTTCCGCCTGCTGGCATCCCAATTTTCATTGCAGACTCTCTATAAGACGTTTTTATTCTGTGAGTGACCGTCGACTCTTGCCGGTTCTCGCCCGATAATGTGCTGTGTGATCCAGGTGAGGCATTGAGATTCCTTGCATTTCCATGTTTTCCCAAAAATGTCCTCGAATTTCGAGTGTCAGCGTTGTCCGTCCTCCTTTGCCCTTTTTCGCCCAGCAACGTGCCGTTCACCTTATTCACAGTACAGGATGTCCTAATAGAATTGTTTATCAAGCAAACTAAATATTTTTTTTAGTTGAAACGAAAGAGTACAAGTACTTTACGAACTGATTTTGTTAGAGGCCCGGCCATCACAAAGTAATTACGGTATTACATTTTGAAATTCGTAATTTTGGACTCAATTATTAGAGAGAGTAGGCCTACGTAACTATCACGGCTGTCGAATGAAACTTCAGGAAGGGAGTTTCGCGAAGATGTACAGACGCGACTCGCTACTGTGCTCGTATCCAAGTTCCGTACGACAGTGCTACACGTCTATGGTGCAACCTTCATGTCTGAACGCAGAGAATTGACGCACGTTTTGAAACTCGGGTTTTCTGGGAGAGTGTAGGACTAGTATTCTCAAGCGGACTTGGTTGGTGTTTTCAGTCTTTCCTCAAACGTATTTTAAGTAAAATCTACGCGTGACGTGTGGTTGAGAAGTAATGCAATCTCTGCACGTGGTCTTTGGCTCCGGAATCCTTACCCTTGCTCGTGACATGTTGATAAGTGTCTTGTAGTTCCATTTTTAAAGTCATTTTGCACCAAGATATCTGTTTATATCTGATACCAAACTGATAGTAATATTGAAAGATAGATTTTCGGGGTAACTTGAATCCTCGTGGCAAAATATATTTTCCACATTCACGAGAAGATGAGTAATTTGTTGCTGTGAAATAAAATCTGTGAGAAAAAGGAAATATTATGTGACCCTAAAAAATAACCCAATCAATTTTCCAGAAGATGTCGTATGAGTTTGCTAATACAATTTTATGATAGGATGATACGTTTGTAGCCCGTAGTATGTGTAAAAACAAACTTTTCAAATGGGACCGATTCAGGTAAAAATTTCCAGTTCCCCTGCAAAATTCCCTGTTTCCCTAAACAAGTTTTTTTCACACATTCTGTGCAGTTTTTTAGGGTGATTTATTTGAATTTGAAATTTGCCTTACATTTCGAAAACTAAAAGCTTTATCGAAATACCCCTTTGTACAAAATTAAAGAACACTAAATTTCCTACGAAATGCATTCTATTTTAACTTTGATATTTCTGCAAATCGATTAGGCGCAAGAGCGCGGTGAAAAAAAGGGTTTTCAATCTCTGACTAAAACTAGAGAAACCAAACCTGTCTCGCGCCCTGTTTTCTCGCCGCGGTGCTTATTTACTAGAACACGATCTAAAGCAATCATTTAACAATGATTAAAATTCCGCTACTCGTTGAACCAGTAGAAATGTGTTTACTTGCACGGAGAATTTGTATATGCCAGTGTTAGTAATCAAAGTAATATGTTCTTTAAGGTATCAAATAATGATGTTAAAGAAACAATAAAGTTAAAGATAAAATTTTAGGTATGAAACAGAATCAGGAAACGCGTTCATAACTATTTCTTAAAGGAAACTTAATTTTAAAAAGAAATAGAACAATGCTATTAATAATAATACAACGGTAAGAATTAGTCACTCATCTCATTGCTATCACCTATCACCATGGTCAGGTTTTTAAAAGAACGTAATTTCTAATTATTTCTCCATAACTATGAACCAATCGCTGACGTACACACTAGACATCCACAACCAAGATCAAAAACCGGACTTTACTTGAAAGTGTAAAATATATCATAAAAAGTTAAATAGGTAAAGTATATCAAGTCAATCAGAGGTACCTAAATGGACTAAACTCAGTACTTTTCGAGGGTTACTGTATTTTTTTTTAAAATCTGTATTAAACCAATGTAATAATATTGTATTGAAAAGAAATGTGAAACTGAATAAGTGAAAAAAGGATTAATTAAATTGAAAAAATTAACAATGCTGTAAAAAAGACTCTAGTGTATGTACACTTGGTCTAAATTGCAAAATATGCACGTTGCTTGCTCTCCTAGATGTAACACTATGAAGGTAGGCTTTACCTGATTCGAATGACAACGTTGTTTACTGAGAGGCGATACATCCGGTCCATAGACGAAACGTCTCCAGTGGTAGCTATTATTCTGATGTTACGAGGTGTTGGTTACCACCTCCACTGTTTTATATAGTCCACGCCAACTTCGGCTGTAAAGCCCCGACAGCGATAAGTACAATTTAGAAGATTTTGTTCATCCGCCCACTCAGAAATAATCGTGGGCTAGGTAGTAGGGGAGTGGTGGCGAAGTGAAATACGTTTGTTACAAAATTCTATATATGAGGGAGTTATATAATTATCAGAGTTAATAAATACCAGTGCGATATTTCGTGGTGGTGATTCAGCCCTGGGTGAGATGCGTGGATTTTCGAAGGGTGGGAAATCCACATTGGTTTAAACCTGGCCAAATGACAGGAAAAAATATATCCTATAACAATTCCCGTTCTAATCCCTTATTCCCTTAGGCGGAAACGCGAAACGAGTCCGTTCTCTATTCACTTCCGTTGTGGTCTTCCCTGGTGGTAAATATAAGTAAAAAATTACGAGTAACGCTGGGAGCCGTAGTAAACATCAGTGGGAACCTTGAGGTGCCTTTTAAAAATTTTAACTTAACACCGGGGGTAAATGTATGAATATCCAAGTGTCCGAACATTACAAACACTAAATAATGATTAATTGTTTCATGAATGTTCAAAATTATTTAAGTAAATAATAAAATAAAGTAATTTATGACGAAAGACTTTTTATATATAAAACATATTTGTGTTTGTCACATTTTATACACTATGTCACAAGTGTCGCTTTGGTCACAAGAGTTTTCTTGCCAGGCCATTTCACAAAATGATTTAGAAATAAATATTTCTCTAGAATAAGACAGACTGAAATTTTAATTCTTCTTTACAACGTTTTGAGGAATAATTTCCCCCCATCGTCAGGCTGCAATTTAGCAGCAACATTTTAGCAAACAAAACTAAATAAAATGTTATTGTACTGTAATGCAAAGTTTATTTCGCTTTCTTTTACTTAGTGGAAATGGATCGAGTAATAGTAGAGTAAATAGGTTTTATTCAATTCGTGAAGGTAAGCATCTAGGCTCCCAACGTCACCTCGTAGGCTAAGCTGTTTCATTCGCCCAGAAAAGCTGTTCTCTTGTGTCGTCTATCGCTACCAGTGAGCTGGCCATTCATGGAAATCTCGGGAAATTTCTTTGATCTGGAAAATGCTGTGAACAATCGGTGTATGTTTGAAAAGAACGGTTGGAAAGGAAAAATTAGATATATTTGTTCTAAAAAGTGTTCATTTTAATTGTTAACTGATTAATGTTTTCAAGCTTTGGAGACCGGGAGGTACAGAGAAAAGCGCTGAGCTGTTAACAGAGTTTTAATAAATGTAGTGCTTTTAATTAGTAGTTTCTATAAAGATCGTTGACTACTGTACATTTGTTATCAGAGGAAAAGTTACAAAATTTTCTTGAAAGAGTGAGAAAAAAATCAAGGAAATGTGTCCCAGGAGGGGAGTGGCCGCGTTGACAATGCCTCAAATATGCGTAATCCCTCGCCAGTAATGTGCGGTTCGCCGGGCATTGTTTGCTGCGTGAGATGTGTTTTTCGGGCGCCGCGCCTCGCCGCGTGTCCTTAAATTGGTCCTTGGGCGGGCCCTCGTCGCCCGCGCCCCCGCCCGTTCGCCTCCCCGCGCCGGGAAGCAGGAAGCCGGTCATCAGCCACGAGCTCCTGTTGCCTGCCGTGCGCGCGGGGGGAGTGGTGAAGGGCGCGAGGGCGTGGTTGGGCGGTGGCGACGGCGACGGGCCCTTCGTCAGCAGAGCCATACCTTGAAACCCCGTGCCATCCCGGTGGGGTGGAACACTGGTCCACAAAGCGGGTTCTCCCGTTTTCGGTCACACTCATTCCGCCGTAGTTCCAGCCACTTCATCCGCTACTCTCAATCGGAAACCATTCACCCCACATATGACCGAAAAGGGCTAGAGGAGGACCAAAAGATATAGCCTACAACCTAGTGGAGCAACTTCTACAGCACATACTCGTGTATTATATCAATCTGTATGACTGCCCAACAGCATTCATTGTCAGTATCATCCATCAAAAGCACTCATCTCAGGTATTGCGGAAAAAAACTAGGGACTGCTCGTTTCTTCTGCCCAGTGCTGCCTTAACCCTCCCCCTTCCCAAAAATATCGTTTTGGTGTTTAAAACCTTCCGAAATAAGGCTTTTTTCGCAAATCCTCTCAGAATGATCTGTAAGCATCCGGCAAAAAAGTCGGTTCACTACCAGTAGACTGAGACCATCAAATGACAGCTTACGTAGCCTGGTGGACCTGATAAGGATTCTCCGTGAGTAAGGGACGGACTGATTCAGGTTACCCGATTACACTGGCGTAGCGTGGCGCTTCCGTTGGGTATTTTCTTGTTACAAATTATTTTTTGGGGCTATGAGAGTTC